AACATGAGATTCGGAGGGGTCAAACAAATTACACTATAGCATTTTACCCCTGCCCCCAAATATAATGTCCTTTTCACATGCAAAATGCAATCATCTCTTCCTAATACTCTCCCAGTAGTCTTATTTCAGCACCAACTTTTAAAGTCCAAAGTCTTTTTTGAGACTCAAGCCAAGTTCCTTACAGATGTGAGCTCATCAAATCAAAATCAAGTTATTTGCTTTCAAGATACAATAGTGGAACGGGTATTAGGTACATATTCCCATCCAAAAGGGATAAATTGTCCAGAAAAAAGGGATAACAGGGCCCCATTTAAGTTCAAAATCCAGCAGGACAGACTTTAATTCCTAAAGCTCTAAAATAATCTCACTTGATTCTGTGTCCTGGGCACATTGGGCACATCCTGGGCACACAGGTATGAGGCGTGGGCTCCAGATGCTTAGAACAAGCACCTCTGCATGACTTTGCTGGGCACGGTCCATGTGCCTGTTCTCAGGGTTCGGAGTAGAATGCTAGAGGCTTTTCCAGACTGAGGTTTTATAATACTGGTAGCTCTATAATTCGGGGGTCTCATGGGCAGTGGCTCTGCACTCACAGCTCCACTAAGTAGTGTCCCACTAGCAACTTTGTGGGGGTTCCAACCCCATACTTCTGCTTGGCAACATTAGAAGAGTCTTTGTAAAGAGTCTCCACTTCTTTGGCTGAGCACCCAGGCTTTCCAAAACATACTCTGAAATCTAGGTGGAAGCCACCAAGCCTCTACCACTCCTGCATTTTGGGTGCCTGCAGGCTTATCATCATGTGGAAGCCACCAGAGCTTATGGCTTGCATTCTCCAGAGTGGAAGCCCAAGCAGTACCTGGGCCCCTTTGTGATGTAGCTGGAGATGATGTTGCTGGGATGTGGGCAACATTATTCCAATGTGGCATGGGGCAGCAGCACCCTGGAGCTATCCCCCAAAACCATTCTGTCCTCCTAGGTCTCTGGTCTTACAACAAGAGGGGCAGTTTGGAAGATTTCTGAAATGCCTTCAGATCCTTTCCTCATTTTTCAGACTATTAGCACCTGGTTCCCTTTCATCCATACTAATCTCTCTAAGTAGTGGTTGCTTCACAGAACTCTTAGATTCCTCTCCTGTAAATGCTCTTTCCTTCTGTATTATGTGGCCAGGTGTGAATTTTTCAAATTTTTATGCTCTTCTTCCCTTTTAATTATAAATCCCAGCTTTGGGTCATTCTTTTGTTGCTATATTTGAGCTTAGCTATTAAAAAGCATCCCTACCACTTCTTAAACACTTTTCTGCTTTGAAGTTTCTCTGCCAGATATCTTAGGTCATCCCTCTTAAATTCAACATTCTACCAATCCCTAGGGCATGGAAACAATGAGCCAACTTCTTTGCTACAGCTTAACAGGGTATCCATTCCTCATTTTCATCAGAGACCTTGTCTGCATGGGCTTTATTGTCTTTATTTCTATCAGCATTTTGATGACAACCATTTAACCAATCTCAACAATGTTTCACATTTTCTCTCATCTTTTTATCTTCTCCTGAGCCCTCAAAACTCTTCTAATGCCTGCCCATTACCCAGGTCCAAAACTGCTTCCACATTTTCAGGTATCTCTATAGTAACTTCCTACTCCTTGGTACCAGTTTTCTGTCTTATCCTATTTAGTGTTGCAATAAAGGAATATCTGAGGCTGGATAACTTATAAAGAAAAGAAATTTGTTTGGCTCCTGGTTCTGCAGGCTGTATGAGAAACATGGCACCAGCATCTGCTGCTGGTGAGGGCTCCAGGTTACTTCCACTCATGCTGAAGGCAAACAGAGCCAGCATGTGCAGAGATCTCATGGCAAGAGAAAAAGCAAGGGAGAGAAACAGGAGGTTCCAGGCTTTAAAAAAAAAAAAAAAAAACCCAGCTTTCATGGGAACTAATAGAGCAAGAATTCTCTGATTACTGTAAGCATGACATCAAGCCATTTATGAAAGATCCACTCCCATGACCCAAACACCTTCCATTATATCCCCAAATCCCATCTCCAATATTAGGGGTCAATTTCAACATGAGATTTGAGGGGCCAATAAAACCACACTATAGCAAGCCCCTTGGGAATAACTGGTCTTGTATCTGCTCACTGCATATCTAGTCTTTTGATATGAGAGAGGAAGATCACTTTCTGGAAGGTGTAGAAAACTTAAAAATATTTTGAGGACCTCAAGTAGAAGAGAATTCACCTGAATCTATAGGTATTGTAAGTGAAGGGTGATGGCATGACTACCTAGCCTGTAGAGGCTTTTATATATTTAATTTGAGATTCTTTTATTAAAAGTCTCAGCAAAGCAGACTTAAAAAGAGATGATTGCTATTCTTATGCACTTAGGTGAAGTTTAATGAGAATAGACTTATTTTTCAAACAAATTAGTCTTACGGATTTTATATTTGATAGAAATGGGGGTGGCTGTAGAGGAAGGAAAGGTGTTTCAGTAGAAAGCTATAATGTACCCATTATTAGATTCAAATTCTTTTCATTGTCTTTGAGATTTTCTCATCTACCTATAATCTGCCCTATTCATGAAGCCCTAGAAATTAGAACTCAATGACTTGCTAACAAACTTTAGAGGACAAACTTCATGCCTGCTGCTGAGTGGGCCAGTCAGGAAGTTCACCAAAACATCCAATGATTAAACACATTCAGAATGGAAATCAGTAAAATTATCAGATGCAACTGCCATCTTTGTTTCATCTTGTAAAGATGCTTTGAGCTCAAATCTAGAAATCTTCTCAATTAACTACCCTGAGAATTAAGAGACTGAGTTTATGGATTGTTCTAACCCTCAACCTTTATTTTTATTTTGTTTATTTTAGTTGTTTTAATTCATGAGCCCCTTGGCTATGAAGCATAGCCCAGTCTCTTGATATTCTCCCCATGATAATCATCATTGTCATCTCCCTGATGTGCTGCTTTCTCTAAAGAGTCCCAAATGCAAGTTCCTAGACATCAATGTATGTGAGATTTATCACTGGGATTAGAACAACAAAAACAAGATGAACAACAAAAGAAACACTTCTTCAAGAAATCAGACCTTGTAACTTTTGAGTTCCATGCTGAGTTAAAGACAAATCAGCTGTGATCATTACAGAAAGTGGCAAATGTGCCTGAGCTTTAGTTCATTTTACATAATGGAGATGCAAATCGAAAGAGAAGAAATTGTTTAAATAATTGAATGACAGTACATTAAGCTGAGGTGGCAGCAGCAAAATGGGCTCCCACCTAAGAACACAGAAACCCAACTCAATATAAATGGTAAAACAAAAGTTAAGTGTAACCAATTAGAAACTGCCAAATAATTAGAGACTTTCCATTGGAATTACCTACATAAGGCTACTGCTCCATTTTAGCCAATCAAATATTTTCTTTATCTTGCTTCCATATTCTCCTTAAAAAGCCATCCTCTCTCTCACCCTTCAGGAAAGCCCCAAAACACATGCTGTCTGGCACTGCTCAGTTATATATTTTTGTCTACTCAAACTCTACATTTTCAATGTACCTACATTTATAACTACGTATGTATATGTGTATCATATGACTATACATAGACATAAAAAATAAACATATACATATGTATGTATACAGATATAGATATCTAAAACATGTATGCGTACAATCTGGTAGCACTCACAATCCAATAAAAGCTATTGGAAAAGGATAAAGTTAATTAGAGTTAATGAATCATAATTATGTTTAATTACAAAAAATCTGACAACAATGTTGAGGAAGTGAGAGTGCTAGAAGGATGGAGAAAACAAGTTACTACAGTTTTTCAAAAATAGAGATTAGTTGTTTTCAGGGTAAGGGAGTCAGTGGTATTAGTGAGAATGGGAAAATAATTTCAGTGTTGAGAGATGAAGGACATGGTAGACTAGAAGACGGATGATTCAAATACTTAAGGAATATGTGGGTGAAGAAGGCTAACAATCAAGAACTTTTTGAGATCTAAAACATCCAAACTCTTCCTTATTTTTATTATTTTGCCTCTACTCATTGTGCACTATGATGTCATATCATCTTAATATTATTAAGCTTTGGAATATGCATTTAAAGTCCCTGGCTCTCAACAAAATATGCCATAACCTTGTGATATTATTGATTTATTTAGCTTTATTTTTTAATTTTAGAACAATTAAGATTATTTTCTTTCTATTATGCCACTTATCTTTTCTTCTCTATGTCTATACCAACTTAGTTCTTCTATTTAAACTGTTAGTTTTCCGAATTAGCGAAGCTTTTCAAATTGTCTGGAAACATACAAACACAGTTTGGAAAGGGCCTTGGAAGCCGTCATAAAGACTTAGAGACAACTGGCCTCTTCTTATTCATACAAACACACCGAGTTACGAGCCTTCTCTTACACTTGGACCTGCCCTTCACTGTCTTAACTCTCTTCTTGGTTTTTTCCTTATTGCATTCCCATTTCTATTTGTTTCTTTGCTTAATATGTGAGTTGAGTCTCAACAGATGTGAAATTCATCCCTTCACAAGAAAGTGGAAAGAAATATTTTTGCTGGCTAGAATTCCAGGGATTTGCTTCTGTTCACTCAAATAAAAATCTGCCTCCACTATGAAGTTCAATGTGATAGGACTCTTAGGGAATACAGCTGTATTAGGTTCAAGATGTCATACTCAAATCCTTATCAAATAAACCACTATGTTAGCATATAACGCATTTGTAAAGCAACATAGAATAATATACAAGACAGTAAAAAATTTGATTTTCTTTCAGCTATAATTCTTGCATTTTGATATGAACACTTGATTAAAATTCTTTGAATGCTTTTAAATAACATAAGAATACATTAATTAGCTTGTTAGGTACTTTATGTAATTAAAATGCAAGGACAATAATAATTGCAAAACAAAGCTGAACACTGGAAAAACATAGATATCAGTAAAGTACAATTTTGTGATTAGTTTACTAAAAAGAGAAAAGAGATTAGTATGAGATCTAAACATTTCTTTTTAACATTTTTGTGAGTGAGTCTATGACTTGCTTATTTCTCAGACTGTAGATAATGGGATTAAGCAAAGGAACTATGACCATGTAAAACAGAGACTCCATCATATCTTGATCATCAGCTTGTGGTGATTGAGGGAGCACATACATGAAAAGAAGAGGGCCATAATATAAAGACACAGATAAGAGATGAGCTCCACAGGTGGAGAAGGCTTTCCTTATGCCTTTGACTGACTTTTTTAAGATTGTAAAAAGAACAAATGTATAAGATACAAGAATAGTCACAATGGTGAATACTTGAATTGAACCTGCAAAAACAAAAACCATTAGATAATTAATAAAAGGGTCAGTACAAGAAATCATTAGCAATGGCATAATGTCACAGTAAAAATGACGTATTATGTTGGAATTACAGAAGGTTAGTCTGAACAAAAAGCATTCATGAAGTAGGGCATGAAGAAAGCCACCTACAAATGACAAGACTAATAGCCGGACACATAGTCTATGGTTCATAATCACTGGATAGAGTAAAGGTTTGCATATGGCTACATAGCGATCATACGCCATTGCTGCCAAGAGGAAACATTCTGTGGTTACACTGATTGCAAAGGAAAAAAATTGTACCATGCATTCAGAGAGAGACATCATCTGACTTTTGGCTAAGAAGCCGACTAACATCTTGGGGGTGACTGTGGAAGATATCCAAGCATCCACAAAGGCTAAACTCCCAAGAAATAAGTACATGGGGATGTGAAGGTGAGGGTCATTCCAGATCAGAATAATCAGACCAAGGTTCCCCATGATGGTGATGAGATATATCATCAAGAATGCCAGGAACAGGGTTATTTTCCACTCTGGTTGATGAGTAAGTCCTGTGAGAACAAACTCTGTCAGCAATGTTGCATTTTTCTTTTCCATGTCCTCACTTGGTGTCCTCTGCAATAACATGCAGTAAATGTAAAAAAATACATATATTCACATAACTACTATAAGTTGAAATTGGGAGAAAGGGGTTGAAATAAAACCAAACTCTTATCAGATTGCCTTTTAATTTTATTTATTACTATTGAACTGTAGGAAACTAAACTAGGGAAAATACAATTACTGTCCATTGATTCAAAATAAAGAAATGCAGTAAATATAAAAAGAATATTTGCAATGTAAGCAAGAATTGAAATTGGGGAATAGGTGTTAGAACAAACTGTATACTTATCAGAGCCCTATTAATTTTATCGGTAATATAATTGTTGGACACAGTATTTGAGAAACTAAAGAAATGAAAAAAATGCTATATTTCTTTTCCAAAAATGTGCAAGAATTAACAGATTTATAAAACAAGGGAAGCAGTCTAGTTGTGTCCTAAATTTATGTGTACATTGTTGAATGTGCTAGAAAAATTCTATGCCTAGGACATGGAAGGTGTGTCAAGGCAAAAGGTTTTTGAAGGACCTGGAATAAAAATAATGAATTTAGTGCTCTGTGAATGATCTTGATCTTTATTCTTCAGGCAATAAGCATATACTGAAAATTTTAATATGGTAAATGGCATCAGCATATATTTTTAAAATTTAATTTTTGATGGAGAAAATATGATGCAGGAATTGGAAACTGGAGTCAGGCATACTAATTGGAAACATGTTAATAAGTTTCCAAGGGACCACAAATCATATTAAGCATGAGAATTGCCTGGGAGAGTTTTTTTGTGAAAAATATAGGTTGTCAGATTTCAGTGCAGAAATGAATTAAGTAGTTCAATAATTAGATCTGGGAAACTGCATTTTGAAATTACCCTCTAGGTGATTTGAATGCATGTGAAGTGTCTACTCCTTGTGTGATATGACATTGGAAGACATGATGGAACAATGAGATAGATTCAAAAGAATTCAGAATGTAGAGTGTCTAGTATTCTGTAAACTTATTTGATGTGACCAAAGTGGTCAGTGAAGGAGAGAGAAGTCTCTTGGCTTGGTAGCTGATCATGAAGGATTGAGATTGAGAAGTAGAGGTGCTGACAAATTTATGGAGTTAGCATCATTTCAATAACTAGGTGAGATCTAGTCAGTAATATAGCTTAAAAGACATTATGACTTGGAATCACTGTGGTAGTAGAGGACAGAGTTAGGAATACCCTATCCATCGGAGAGTAGACAAAGAAAGGAATGGCAAGAAATGAAACTTGTGGAAATTACATTAAAGAGGTAACAAACAGGATTTATGGCATTTATAAGATGGCCAAGATCTGATCATCTTTTCTGCCACTCAAGTCTTGGTGACTATCACTGATTATCTACTGCTCTAGGAGCTAAAAGAGGTAGAAATGAATTTTCCCATTTTTCGTGCATCCAGAATGAAGGAACATGGTATAGGTTTGCCAATAAAATACACCCACCCTACATTTAGAAAGTAGAGAGAGGAAGGAAAGGGTACAAGGAAAAAAGTGGAATTTGGTTGCAAAGTCAGAGAAGGAAGCAATACCAGGGGTCCACCTAATCCATCCTTCATCCTCATCAATGGCATTCACAATGTGAAATTTGTCATCTGAAGTTCAGTAGAGGAAGGAACAGCCCACATTGAGCTAGTGTTGGGGCATGAAGTTGGCTGTTCGCTGGCTGCCTTACTTCCTTCTGCTCCTGCTATTTTTTCCTGCTGACTACTCCAACCTCTCTAAGCATTTCTGTGTATAACCAATATCCAGTGAATATTCCCATCTCCTAATGCAGCCAAGAGCTGACTCCAAAAGGAGATGATGAAGTTACCAGAAGGGATACTAAGCAGCCTGATCAGAAAAGTGAGAAAGAAAATGGAAAGCTGAGTATTGTGGTCGCAGAAAAGGAAAAGAACTCAGGGACAAAGTGGAATGCCATGCCACATATGAAAATCAATGCTCTAACAGGGCAATGAGTGAATAGAGATCTTTGAGTGTGGAAACTGGCAAAATTTTAGTGGCTTTTTTGAGAGCAGTTTCCAGTTTCCATTTTGAGGTAGAGTTGTGGTCAAAAATAATTTAAAGTGAATAGGAAATAAGTGGCACAACAATGTGGAACATGAAATAAAATACTCTAAGAAATTTGGAGAACATCTGGCATTTGTAGACAAATGTACATTTTTTTTACTGTAGAAAGTGTTAATAAATGTCTTCAAAAGAAGAGGGGAGTTGAGGGAATGGAAGGAGAAGGGAGAAGGAAGATGAAAGGGAAATTTGAGAGAGTGTAAAAAATTGGAGGAAGAGAAATAGAGAATAAAAATGTCATGTGTGAATACATGTGGGAAAGACAAGCCAAAGAGGAGAGAGAGAGAAAGTATTAGAGAAAGCTGAAGGTGAATAAAGAGAAAGGCTCATAGCTTTGGGGGCAAATGTTTGTAGTAAACCTGGTCTTCATCTAAGATTGTCAACCCTGAGAATCTTTCTTTTTTCTTTTATTGAATATCTAAGTTTATTTTCATATGGAGTTAGTGTATGAGAGGTTTGATTTTAAGTTTTACTCTATAAATTTTGCATTTTTGTTAAATTTACTAACATTGTCTGAAAGTCATTGGTATACTTTTTAAATTTAATTTAATGTAATTTAATTCTACTTTTTGAGACAGGATAAGAGTCTATTGCCCAGGCCAGAGTGCAGTGGCATGATCATAGCTCACTGCAACCTTGAAATCCTGGGCTCAAGGTATCCTCCTGCCTCAGACTCTCAAGTAGCTGGGACTAGAGGCATGCATCACCATGGCTAGCCACATTTTCTATTTTTTGTAGAGACAGGGTCTGGCTATGTTGCTAAGGATTGTGTTGAAAACTGGCCTCAAATGATCCTCTTTCTTTGGCCTTCCAAAGTCCTCGGTTTATAGGTGTGAGCCAATGTGACTGGCATCTTTCCATATTTGAAAGTTGCTTTATCTTTTTCTGACAGTGATTGGAACTGACACTGTATAGAAATTCTGCTGATTACTTGAGTGGATTTTCCTGTCTGCCAGTTTTCTAACAGAATACAACTGAACCAATGACTAGAACCTGATACAGCAATAGACATAATTAATGGGAATAATTACAATTGTTAAATACATATGTATTTAGAATGGACTTACTCCATGAAATTCCAAATCACTAAATACTTAAAAATTATCAATTTCAATTTGTATGTGGGTATGTGGTTATTTATTAAGTTATAAATACTGGAAAGAGAAGCCCAATAAAAATGTTTTGCATATTTACATACACACACACACACACATAACTGTCACCAATTGTCAGAGTGATGAAAGAATAAAGGAGTTAATATTTAAGTGACTGACCTTAAAAGTTTTAATCAGAGAATGTGATTAATTTAAAAGAATGGGCTGGACACGGTGGCTAACGCCTGTAATCCTAGCACTCTGGGAGGCCGAGGTGGGAGGAATGCTCGAGGTCAGGAGTTCAAAACCAGCCTGAGCAAGAGTGAGACCCCATCTCTACTAAAAATAGAAAGAAATCAATTGGACAATTAAAAATATATAGAAAAAAAATTAGCCAGGCATAGTGGTGCATGCCTGTAGTCCCAGCTACTCAGGAAGCTGAGACAGGAAGATTGCTTGAGCCCAGGAGTTTGAGGTTGCTGTGAGCTAGGCTGATGCCACAGCACTCTAGCCTGGGCAACAGAGTGAGATTCAGTCTCAAAGAAAAAAAAAGAATGAATATCTATATCAAATCAGAAATAATTCTAATACAAGAATCATTATGACCTGAATCTTTAAACCTAGTTTTAAATCATTTAATGTTCTAGTTCACTACAAGCTATCTTACAAAGTTATTATAATAAGGCTAACACAATAATAAAGTATCATTAAAAGAACAATTCAATCTTACAACTATTTTCCTTATCTATATGTACTCATGAAAATAAAATACAAAGATAATCTCATAATAGTTATTCAAATTTAACCTCACTATTTTAATAGCTTGTATACCCAATATGAAATTATAGTAAATTAAATAGCATTTTAACTTTTCTATAAAGCAAAATGAAGATTATAGAAATCACTTCTCTCTTACCCATATCTTAAAAGAAATTGTGATCCCTCAAAAGTGTTAGACTTTCTAAAATGGAAAAAAAATACAATAGCACAGGAATTCCAATCACAGAAGTGGTAATTCATTGCACTCTCATTCATTTTGGAGGCTCCATTTCTAATCTTAGGAAAATGTTGTTTATATGAATGTATTTTGAACACAAGAGTCAACCAATGGTATGATTGCATGCTTTTGCTAGAAGAGGAAGAAGTGGGAACTGACATTCCCATAAGAGTGCCAGAGAATTCCCTGTAGGACAAATTGAAGCTGTTCTACTGGGCATTGTGGATTTGGATGTGTATGAGAAGTCCAGGTTGTCCCAAGGGGTATTATAGACTTCTTGAATCATAAATATTATTTCACTACAGACACTTCTAGTTTTATTATTTGAAATAACATTTTATGCCACTATTTTCCACAACAAGTGACACTTCTCACATGTTTATGCAAACTGCAATTTATATATAAAATTTGTTGCTCTGAGTGCTTTCATTAGTATGGTCTTGTCTTAGGTAATCAAAACACTATTGTATTAAGGCTAAAGTTTTTGATTCCCTTTAGGAGCCAGCCTCAAATACAATTGTTCTCCCCATGCAAATTGCAGGTTAAATTTAGACATATACCTAGTTCCTCCATTTTAAGCTAAAATCTGATGGAAAATATTACTAGGCCAAGGCTAGAAGAAGGAACAAATGAAAAACAAAGACAAGGACAATAGTGGGAGGTGGCCTAGATCTGTGCTTCCCAAACTAATGTCTATGAATTTCCTGGAGATCTGGTAAAAATGCACATTTTGCTTCATGAGTCTTCATTTCTTACTAAGTGATGCCTGTGGACATTTACCATCAACAGAGCCTTCATGATTGGAGAACCTTGATTATCAGAGAGCCTTGATATTGGAGAAACAATAAATGAAAAGTGTAGT